AACCTTCAGAACACGGCCAGAGAGCCCGAAAAACCCATGACAACCATTAGATCCTGGCCATGAAAGCCTTCGCGAATACATTGTGTTAAGCAAGTTTAGTTTTCTTGTTTATCTTGCTCATACTAATACAGGTTGACTTTCACTTTTACTAATTCAACACCTGTAGAAGCAGGAAAAGGACCTGGAGTAAGGCTTGCCCCATACAATTTTAGTCTGTAATACTATATATATTGCAATTGCAGGGTGGGCATAAGAGTCGAAGCGTTTAACCTTGTGGATTTCTGGTGACTTCCTGGAAGCACTGCTAGGTCAAAGTGGACTAAAGTGTCGGGAGGTTACTGAGAAAGGTACTCCCCAGTACATTTGGCCCTCCTGGATTTTACTCATATGAGGAAAGGCAGGGTAGTGTGGTTTGGTGGTTTGTTTGGCCCTCTCTGACCGAGGTAATCTTTATGTCTTCTTTTTCTTTCATGTGATATTTTTATTTTTAACTTAGATTACAAATTGATTTCTTGTTAAAGCAGGAAGGGCTGAAGATAAAGAAGAAGAAGAGAGGAAGTGTGAACATTTCTCAAAATAAAAAAAAAAGTTGGATGATGCCAAAAAGTCTGGGAATCACTGCGCTAACACATCAGCTCATGGAATTAAGATTGCACACTGTGCACTTTGTGTCTATTATTGTTACTTTCACTTAGCATCAACAGCACTCTGAGCTTTAGCAAACTCAGCCATAAAAGCTGTATTAACCAGCACAAATAAGAGTACGAGAGAACCAGGGAGCACACTTTGGCTGAAATCCTGTTGATCTGTTACACACAGAAGGCAAACGGCATAACATCCAGTAGTAATATTCAAATGTCAATTTACCAAGTCATTGCTGGTATTCTCAGGGACTTACGCAACTGATAGCTTGGGGTGCACTCAAGGGGGGGGCTTGTTAATTGCTGACTAGAAAAGATTGAATGTTACACCTCTTGTGTAAGAAAGCAACAGGATTCAGCAAATAAATACTGTGACATACATCAAAGCAATGGTTCTCAGCCTTTTGGTCTTACATAGATTTTGGACTTCAACTCCCAGAAGCTGCAGGCAGCATAGTTAATGACTTTTTCTTTATTCATATTGGAGCATTGAATGATTTAAAATTGTGTATAACTATATGAAATATAGAAAAAATTAAAAACAAATTAAAAGGTTAAGATAATTAGACTATTTTTGACCAGAAATGGACTGCTACAACAGGGTTATCTCGCCCATTTGCTAGATCTTCTTTTGTACACATGGTGAGGCATAAATTGCATGCACATAACTGCTGCACTGACTGAATTTATTCAGTCACAGAACATTTGTCCTGTATTCAGGTAGCCCCATTTTTATTTGATCATTCTTTGATCTGGCTACTTTGTTTCAAAGTCTATTAAGTGACTTCAAGAAGGTCCAGTTAAGAGTCTTGTCCTGATTGGAGACAATCTCTAGCATTCATCCATTTGGCAAGGTATGCTGTTTTTGTTCCCCAAAGGTTTAGCCTAGCCTCTTCTGGTTTAATACCTAGAACATCACATTCATATCGGAGCATCCTTTCCTTGATTTTAGCCATCATAGGAGGTTGGTGTCCATGTAAGCTCAGTGGATCTGCTACTTCATACCCAAAAGTCTTAAGAACAACCTGAAGCAGGACCTAGCTTGTTTGATAAATAAAGAGAAAAAGGTTTCAGGTACAGAGTACAACATGGCAAGAGATGCAGAGATCAGAGGCCTAGATGAGATCAATGAAAGAATGTTAAGCAGCAAAAGAGCCTGCAAAGGAAAACCAACGGTAAAATATATAGCATTTGGAAAGTCAGAAGCAGGAAAGTGAAGTTGGGTATCAGTGAGCCAGCAACAAGAACAAAATGAATAAAGTTGCACAGGTGCTTCAAAAAGAGGAATGAAAAGAGGAAAATACTGATGCAATTGGGCACATGCCCAGGAATACTACCATAACCTTGTTATTTAGCAGAAATTTGCCACCACAGTTTAATTTTTTTCAGCTGTGTATTTATAAATAATCAACTGGATTTTAGTCAATCAAATATATGAAACAGGTGACAAGATCATGGCCCAAAGAGCTTAGTAGTATAAAGGAAAAGTCCAGCTTTCATAAGTATGTTAAATAGTTGCGTGTGTAATATAATTCCTGTCAACAACTATTAAATAGCAACTTGACAGTCTGGGAATTCTGCTGAACACTTCAACATTTACATCATATGCACTTTAATCTCTCCCCCCCCCCCCATTTATAAGACTGCAATTCTGTGGCCGCTTTACTGAGAGCAAGCCCCACAGAACTCAGTGAGACTTCCTTATTTGAAAAGAGTACTGTACAACGAAGGACTTGCATGGCAACTAGGAAGGGGAAAGCTGAATTTTAAAGAAGGATGAAGAAGAGGGCAAGGGATTTACATATAAATAAATACAACATATATAATTACTTTCTCAGAAGTACAATATTTTCAATATATTCTTTTGAAGCCTGCTTAGTTAAGAAAGTTTATCATAGCACACACATCTTTCTAATTAGATGGAATAAGCTAGATGATTAGAGCTGTACATTAGAAAGCATTAAAAGGTTCATGGAATTTCTATTTGTATAATTAGAAAGGAATTTTTATAACTCAAAAAAGAAAAATGTAATTGTACAATTTAACATAGCATTTGAATATGAAGATCAAACAAGCAGGGCAAGTAGCTTAATAGGATAAATGATATTAACCACTAGTGTCAACGCTTAATTCATACCGAATGTCTTTATTATGTAGAAGAGTTCAGCAAATGTGACTCGTTTTCCTATTGTTTTTCTTTAAAAAAACAACGAAATCTCCTGCAGATCTGCAGCAACAGGCTGAGTGACTGGGAAAGCCATATTGCCTTTGTCCATTGGACTTCAGTGCCATATTGCATTGCATGGTCTTATAAGAAAACAAGAAAACAGCTTCCTTATCCCACTGAGCTGGCATGTAAAACCTCTTAAAAACTGGAGACTATTTTTCATTTCGACTTTAGAGCTCATACCAAAAGCTTTGAACCGGCCCCAAAAACTAACTTCTAATGAATGAAGTTGCAAAACTCTGAGGTATAGCTTCAAATAGCATACTCCCGTCAATAACCATGGCAACAACAGTCCATGTCCTTAAGAATCATACATATCCTTCAAATGCTGCCTACCACAGAGCACTATCACTGCAGTCTTACTTCATGATGGAAGGAAGGCCAAAGTCAGAGGTGGAGCAACAGTTTTCCAATAGCAGCTTCTACCTTCTGTCACAGAAGGGCTAGATCCACCACTATGTTGGTTGATTATATCAAAGCTACTGAGTGCTCCAGAATAATCAATTTGATATCAGTATCTCAGTCCAACACCTACTCCAAGTTATCTGCATGAAAAATTGGGACATTCTTAGTCCTGAAACCAAACCAGAATCAAGACTGAAAAGGATCCTAGGAGATATTTGCTCACCAAATTTGAACTGGCAGGGCACAAGAAATAGAGTACGTTCATCCTGAACAATACTACTCATGGATTTTATCTGCTTTACATACTTATCAGAGACTCCCACTTTCCATGGAACATTGGAAACTGTAGTTCTGTAAGGGAGGCTAGATGATTCCCAAGACCACCATCATCAAAGACCTACCTGCAGGACTCTTTGAGAGGAAGCCATGAAAGGTAATCTAGGGTCAAACTAATAATTACAATATGTTAGTCATATAGATATATGTCTACTTCTACTGAAATCTACTTCAGTTGATAGGTGGAACTATCGTCTAGCCACTAGAAGAAACTCAGAATAGCTGTAGTAGAAGGGCATATGAGAACACAGCTGTATGGATTGCACTGCAGAGCGTTTTTACTGCTCTTTTGAGCAGTCTCCAAGTTTACTGGCACACAGCAACAACCGAAGCTGTTGCAAAATTGAACCATCCACAGGTAAAGGTTTTAGGTTGCCCACTGATTAGGACAGAAAATCTCCATCGTTTAACAGATACAGATCACGTTAGCTAAACAATTTTTTTTCTGCTACAACTATAGTGGAACTGTAGCATTAGATTGTTTGAGCTCATTCACAGCATAAGGTCTATTGAATGACATCTACCACCAATACCAGGCAAATGTTCCCCTGTTCTAACAATACATTTCATACCTTTGTTGTACTAAATTGCAGTCATGTGGTATATATATGGGGCGAACGTCTCAATGTGTTTCAATGTTACCAATTAATTTTCTCCTGTTGGAATCATTATGGCCAGCTACACCACGGCACCGATTACTTTTCTCTCTCTTTTTCTGGGGCATTGCACCTCCTTGCTTAATTTTTTTTTACAATTATGTCGATATGTTGGGAAGGGGTCCCTGTTCCTCTGTTGTGCCAGTGTCCCCGGAAGACGTGCACTGCACTCAATGGACCCGGCACCCCCATCCAGAGCTGTGTTGCTTGCTAGAAAGCAGCAACACCTACCAATGCCTTGGCATACCTGGGTACTGACATATGTTTACCTACGTATCAAGCATACTGGCTTTTCTGAAATTAAGTGACTGGGGAAGGTGGGCACCATTACTGCACACATGTCAGTCTGCTAAGGAATATAGCAATATGCCTTCAGAACAAAATAACAAAAACCTAGTGGGAAATAAACAGCAGTTACACTGCTGGTCAGGTAAATGATTTGATAATGGCCATGCATTGTGTAACCGGAAATTTCCATAACAATCTAACAGGGGTATAACTAGAGAACATTTGCCTCATGTGATGTTGAAAAAGACACTACAGTTTTTTCCCCACTACTGCTTGGACATAGCATCTATCAGTGTGTACCACATATCATATCAAATCTGAGGCAAGTAATAAAATTTGTTAGGATTACGAACACATTTATATATGTTTTAATATACACCAAAACTGATACAAACAATCCTATGGCAGTGAAATAATAATACAGAAAATCTTTCAGAAGTAACTCACCATAAATAAATCACGAGCGCCTATATCAATAGCAAGCAGAAAGGCTTTCTCAAACCGTTGATGTCTACAAAAGGAGGAGAAACAAGCGTGATCAGCTGTTGTGTATGGACTATATGAGATTTGACAAATAAATGTGCATAAATTTTGATGTGAAATTTATACACATCAAATTTGATAGTCAGTTTTGATGTGAAAAACTGGTTTCTGGCAGGGGCAGTTAGCTGAAGAAAACTTGTAGAAGGGAGCTTAACATGTTCCTTGCCTACAGTTGTCTCACACCAGATTTATTGCCCACCAAGAGTATTTCTCCCTGTTAGACTTTAAATGTTTATGTGTCGTATATGCAATTGAGAGACATAATGCAAGAACAAATGTCACATATTGTAATGGACATGGAAAAGTAATACATTTGTTGTTAACATAAGTAGTTAGTAAGCCACAGTTTGAACATTAAGCCAGTGGTGAACTTTCTGCCCTACCAACTGGTTACATTGCAGAAAGAAAAGGCACATGCATACATTAGCAGGATCACTAATTTGACTTTTTCCTTCTGATGAAAAGCCTTCTGCTTGCTTTGGTTATCCATTTTGGCAGCTTGTAGAGAGAACCTTAACCCCACTTTTGATTTTTGCCTCACGTCTGAGAATGCATGTTAAGTGCAGGAGAACTTTTTGGCCTGTGAGACTAGCTTTCTGAAGCCCCTATGACATAGGAATATCATGAGCATTTCTTTCCTGTAATTTATCTCTAGCTCTGCATTCACAAAGGCTAAAATAATAAAGCTAAATAATTGTTATGCATGTAAACTGCTTGATTTTCTCTTCACAACCTTTCAATGTAAGTGGACCAAGCCTCAGATTGAGGCAAAGTTCTCCTTGCATTGAATACATCAAAGAGGTATCTGGCATAGGAAAGTGCCAAGACAACGTCCCTCTCTACCTTTGTTTCTAATCATCTCCAACATGTATACTCTCAAAATAACTTTTCTTCATCGGATGGGCCAGGCACATTTCTAAGCAAAAACTGTCTGCAGCAGATTTTGGGATGTGTATGATAACCAAGCAAAACAGTTTACAGTGGTGCCTCGCTTAGCGATTGCCTCGTTTAACGATATATTCGCTTAGCGATGAGGTTTTTGGAGCGATCTTGCGCTCCATTTAGTGATGTTTCCAATGGGGAAATTTCGCATAGCGATGTTCGGGACCTTGCTTCGCTTAGAGATGACAGTTTAGGTCCCCCTGTTTCACTTAGCGATGTTTTTGACAGCTATGTTTTCACTATTTTTAAAAGGTGTTAAATTATTTAAAAAGGGTTTAGAGTGTTTGAAATCGTTAGTGCACTTAATAAACCCTTTGTTAACCAAATTTGGCTTCATTCTGACTCTTTGAATTTTTGCTGATTTTTTTCTCCCACATTGAAATGCATTGAAAAGGTTTCAATGCATTCCAATGGGGGGACCACGTTTCGCTTAGCGATGTTTCCTATGGCGATTTTCGCTTAAGGACGGTAATCCGTTCCCATTGGAACGGATTATCTGGTTTTCAATGCATCTCTATGGGAAAACGTGTTTCACTTAGCGATGTTTTCCCATAGCGATGAATTTTTTGGAACTAATTAAAATCATTAAGCGAGGCACCACTGTATTGGTAAAAGACAAGGGGAACAGTTTTTTATACGTAGCATATTTTAAAGAACATTTTATCTTGTTTTATAAAAAAGATTTCAAAAGCATAGTGTGAGACAATAGGACAACGAAATATCTCAAATTTAGTTTGATATATTTTGCATGAACTGAAAAGTCATAAAAAAGTCAGAACAAACATACTGTCTTGTTGAGCAACATTAGCATTGAAATGAACTGTGAAAAACATTCTTTACTGAAGAGGGACTGCCAAAACATTTATTTGCTTGCTGTGAGCAGTCTACTGGTGAGTTTTTTTTGGGTTTTTTTTTTTTTTGCAGACAAAGTATATTGAGTTCACTGTAATGTGGACTCAAGCACTGAAGCAGGTCAAGATGATATAATTCTGAAAGCAACTTATCCAAGCATCAAAACCCATGTGTGTGAATTCGCAAATGACAACTTCAAGAACTATAGTTACAGGTAAGCAACTTGTCCTTCCTTCTAGAAAGGACTGCCCCTTCCTGACTAAAGGAGACCATTATAAAGCCCCTGGTAAAGAAACCCACAGAAGTCCTAATTACAGGTTAATCTCAAATGCATGCACTTTGGTATGTATACATGGTAGTTGTGAAGACAGTGACCTTGTGACTCCACACACTTGTGGATGGCACTTGAACCATGGAGTGTGACCTTACTAGTTCCCCTGGATGTCATCGCAGCTTTCAGTATTATCTCCTATTGCATGCTATTGGACTGCCCGGATGGGGAAGCACTATTTGATACCACAGCCTGTGAGATATGATGTTCCGCATGGCTCTACCCTAGCCTTGGTACCACTTAACATTGGTATGAGCCATTTTGAGAGGTCAGTGGAAGGTTTGGAGTGAGGTGCCACCATGATGCTTATCACACTCTATTGCTCAGCTAACTCCAAGGGAACAGTCAGGAATACTGAACACAGCTTGAACTTGGGGGAGAAACTGAAATTAAATCCTGAGAAGATGAAGTCAGGGATTGAAATTCACCTTCTTTTGAAAGGGGTTGGCTCCCCCAACATTTTAGGTTCATATTCTGAAATGATTCTGTGCTGTTCCTAGAGTCCAGGATTGTTGTGGCAGCAGCAACAAGGAGTGCCTTTACACAGTTCCGCTTATGACACAAAATACATCCTTTCCTGGGCTGACTTGATGCAACAGCAGTCATTCATGCTTTAGTTGCAAAGCAAAGTGTGTTGCCCCATAATGCTTAAGGCACTCTCTGGGTAGTTTGCAATTTAATTTTGCAGGCTACCTATTGCCCTCACCCCCAGCAAGCTGGGTACTGCTGTTACTGTCCTTGGAAGGATGGAAGGCTGAATCAACCTCGAGCCTTCTACCTGGGATTGAATCCGAGGTCATGAGCAGAATGTTGGCTGCAGTATTGCAGTTTAACCACTGCACCGTGAGGCTCTTCACAACACATCTTAACTACTCCAGTATGCTTTATATATGAGTATCCTTGAAGAGGGTCGAGGATGTTCAGCTTAACCCCACAATATGCAGCAGCTAGGTTTCTACCAGTGGATGATATCAAGAGCTCTCGCTCTCAATCTGTGTATAAAGATTTTACAGTTTTGCTTTTATTTGACACCTATTTCTACTATTGTTTTTATAGAATTTTATGATCTTGAGTACTATTCAGCTGTAGAAATGTGAGGTATAAAAATTAAAAATCACAGTCATAAGCTCTACAAAGAGCCTTGGAAAATCTGGATTTTTCTTTGTGTGTAGAGCTTACACATGAGCAAGAACCTTTCCTTTTCAGAAACTATGCTAAAACCACAAAAGACACAACATCTAAGGGGAGCGGTGTTAGGGAGTTTTTACAATCCTGCACGCTGCTTGGAGAGACCTTTCTGGGCTGGGGTGACTGTCAATCTAGCTAGCACTAACCAATCACTCCCTCCTGCCTCTGAATTCAAAGAGAGAACAGCCTCTTTGCTCCCTCCTGCCTCTGAATTGAAAGAGAGACCAGCCTCTTTGCTGTTTCTTTTTCCCTCTCCTAAGTCTGTTGAAGTCTGTTGCTGAAAGCAGTCACACTTCTCGATTTGTTGTTGATCTATATTTAAATTAAACTTTTAAAAAATTCTTCCTGCTCCTATTGTCTCAGGGTGAGTTACTGAGACTGTAAGTGCCATTTAAAGAGAAAGGGAGTGGCCTATCTCTCAGAGTGAGTTATTGAGGCTGTAAGTGGCATTTAAAGAAAAAGGGAGTGGCCTATTATGAGGGACTTGAAGCTATTCTGCTTTGTGAATCCCTGTACTTCTGCTGCACAGCTAGAAGAATTTAACTAAAAATTCAAAACTGGAACAAATGGAGCTAGGGATTCCCGTCTAAATATGTTCAGAATGCTGGCTTTAGTAATGCCTGGGGTGGCTTTTGACATAAATGAGGAAAAACACAAAAGAGGTTCTTGCTTTTGTTTTCTGGTTCTTTCACTGGGTTCTGAAAGAGCACCTCTGAAATACTATACCTGGAGGCAAAGATGATGATATTTTGGGCATATTTTGGGCACATGAGAAGGCAAGATTCTCTAGAAAAGACAATAATGCTGGGAAAAGTTAAAGGCGGCAATCTCTAGAAAAGACAATAATGCTGGGAAAAGTTAAAGGCGTCAAGAAAAGAGGAAAAGCAACTACTAGATGGATTGACTTTCTAAAGGAAGCCACAGCCTAGAATTTACAAGAGCTGAGGAGAACAGATGGATTGACTTTCTAAAGGAAGCCACAGCCTAGAGTTTACAAGAGCTGAGGAGGAATGTTGAGGACAAGGACATTTTGGAGTCAGAGGCAACTTGACAGCACATAACAACAACAACAACACTGTTATACGGGCTCCTGTCAGCAACCAATCAGAACATTCGAGGGGGTGTGTGGGCATTTGAAAGCTACAGTATCTAAGGGCCTAGATTGGTTGGAACCCAGTGGGAGTGATTTTTTCCCTTGTTTCATTCACTGACTCCACTTGTTCTTTGTGAGCGTGCAAGCGCCAGCCCTGGCACCCTCCATCTTAGGCTGCCTTTCTATCTGCTGGGCCTCCGTGCATCTCTGCCTTTCTTGGCTGCTACACTGTCTTCCTGTGGGATAGAAGGGGGAAAATGCGGGGGGTGGGAGGAGAGGAAGAATAGGCAGCAGTTGGTTGCAGCCCTGAGAGGTTTTGCAAGGAAAAGAATTATGCAGGTAACAAAACCATGAGGGGAATTGCAAAGGTTTGGGAAAACGTTTTGTTGGCTTTCTTGCTGTTGAGAAACTCTTGTCTACAGGCTGCCACTGTCTGTATTACGTTGCTCTTGTTTGTGCACTACTCTGACACTGCTCAGGGGCACCAAGGGAATGAGGTTTCTTGAAATAACAGGGTGGGAATTTTTAAGCTGTGCTTTGTATCAGATGGCAGGTAGGAACT